GTAAAAATCCAATTGTATATAACAAACATTATTTGCTTGCCCATCTTATCAATTGATTCTTGCCTTCTGGCATTTCTGTTCCCTAACTTGGAGTATGGCCTCGTGTAGGCTCGTATGGCCTTATGAATTAATAGTAACGCACATAATTTGTTGTGTATTGTGATTCCTGAACCAATTTTATATAAAAAAAAAAAAAAAAAACATCTTTTGATACGTATGCAAACTTTTTCAGCACCAAAAATGTCTCTACGAAGAAGCAATATCAGAAGAACCGTCTGCATTACCAATAAAAGCTGTCATTCATAGAGCACCAAAGAGAAGCTTATGGTTATTAATTACTATGAGTATATTAAAAATGTGAGAGCCACTGCAAGAAGATTTGAAATCGAACCAAAGCAAGTTCGCGAATGGCTAAACAAAAAGCAAGAGCTTCTGAGTGTCGCGCCTTACATTTTAATGCTTAATCGTGGTTGTCAGGCCTAATTTCTGTTATTAGAAGAAAGGCTTGTTGAATGGATTAATAAATGCCGTAAAGAGCAGAATGCTGTTACCAGAAATATGGTTAAGAAAAAGACTAAGGCCTTAGCACAAACTAATGAATTTAAGGATATTTATCTTGACATCGGTGCCTTTAAATTTTCTAAAAACTGGTTAAATTGGTTCTTGTTTTGCTATAGTTTTTCAAACCGTAGGCGTACGACAGTTTTACAGCACCTTCCAGCTAACCTTGAGGAAAAAAAAAGTGAATTTTTAAGTTATATTTTGTTTAAATGTCAGGAATATGGCTCTCCTGTTAGTTGTATGGGCAACATAAACAAAACGTCCTTATCATTCGATGTACCTAGCCCAGTTACTCTTGAAAAGCGTAGGTCAAAAACTGTGGGTATCAGAACTACTGGGCATGAAAGAACAAATTTTACTGTTACTCTCGGATGCCTCGCTAATAGAATAAAGCTTCTGCCTGTATGCATTTTTAAGTTGAAACTTATCCCTCGTGATGTGTTTCCTCAAGGTGTTATTATTAGAGTAAATGAAAAAGGATGGTGTAATGAGAATGAGATGCACTATTGGATTAATAATGTTTGGAGCAAACGTAGTGAAGAAGTAAAACCACAGTCCCTTCTTGTTTTGGACTTCTTTAGGGGTCATTTAATAGATTCCATTAAACATCAATTTAAAAAAAATAACACCCACCTCGCAGTAATTCCCAGAGGGTTAACTAGTAAACTACAGCCCCTAGATGTCACGATAAATAAGAGCTTTAAGGATAAGGTATTATTGAAATATTTTGATTTTTTGAGTACACAGCATTAATAAAATTTAAATTTTTAGGTGTGTCGTCATTATAATGAGTGGATGTCTACTGTGATCCATCAATTAACACCTGCTGGTCATTTTAGAAAACCATCATACACTACTCTTGCACAATGGGTAAGGGATTCATGGGAGGAGGTTGACCTCCAGTTGATAGTAAAGGCATTTAAGTGCTGTGGTGTTTCGGTTAAAATGGATGGAACGGAAGACGATCAGGTTTTCGATTATGAGTTGTTGAATGAAAATCCAACAGATGAAAATGATGAAAATTCTGAAGTAATTAATGGTGATGATAGTGAAGGTGAAATTTATGAAGAAGTTGAGGGTGATAACAATGTTTGGGAATAGTTATAGATTTCTAGAATGTTTTATTTGATTTTATCAATAAAATTAGTGAATTTTAGAGTTTAGTTTACTGTCAAAAATATAAATTGAATATGAGTTATTTTTTATTAAAAATCTTATTGTTTGACTGTTGCTTAATTAAATTGATTAATTTTATATATCGTGATCTGTCTTATTATTTATAAATACTAACAAGAGTAATTTAATCATTGGGCTTCATATTCGTTGAAGTTTTATTTTTTTTTTGACAAAACTTAAAAAACTTTGAGTTTATATATTTCAGATTTAGATTTAATATTTATTATTTTATATCTTATTAAGGTAACATTTTTTTATTATTTATTTATTAATGCTGCTGTTAATTATACCTAGTCTTGAATTCTACAATAAAAATAATGTAATCACAGCTAAGAACGAAAAAAGACACTTGAGTGGTATTCAAAAGTGACAATCCTGATAGACAGCCTAATCTTGAATTCTACAAAAAAAAACAATTAAGTAATATTTGGAACCTGCTAAAAGATGGCAATTTTGATGAGACAGTTTATTTGGAACTTTGAACATAGGCACAGATAATAATGAAAAAAAGGCATTCGAATGATATTCAAACCTGCTAAAGATAATGATCCTGATAGGCAACCTAATCTTGGATTCTGCAATAAAAACAGCGTAGACACAACTAAGGATGAAAAAAAGACACTTAAGTGAAGATCTGCTGAGGTGACAATTCGAGTGGACAATTCAATCTTTGAATCTTTTATCAAAACGGCATTGGTACAGCTAAGAATAAAAAAAAAGCTATTTTTGTGAAAAAAGCTTTTGGACTTTGTTCTATTTTGATAATACGTCTAATTTTTTTTTTTTTTTACTATCCAGTCTATTTTCTACACATCAATTTAAATTAAACCAAAATTTTATTATTGAGTTCATTAGAAAGATTTGTTATATGAGTGACAGAAACAGAAAACCTGTAAATCATTTACAGGTTTTCCTTTTTCGTCACTCATATTATACAGTAACTAATCTAATTCGATGTTCAAAAAGCTTCCAGATCACTAATTATAGGTAGACGCCTTTTTAATGAAACAAAAAATAAAAATTTAAAGTGTTGAATTAGCAAGTCGATATCTTGGGTTTACTAATTTTTTCCCACAGTTCCTATTGGACGAAAAAAAAATCCTACTTTTCGATCAAATAATAAAAATGTCGTTGAAACAGTATAAAGGTTTAATAGAACAAATATTATATCAAAATTTTGCAAGGAATTTTTTTTTGTTAGAACACAAAAGGTGGTTTTGTAACTATAATTTTAAGCTACTGTGATTTTTGAAAACTTTAAAAACTTTGAAATTTTTTTTTTTTTGAAAATTTTATGTTACATCTGATCTTTTAATTTGATTGGTAGACGAAAGATGACGTAGTCGGCATTGTCCAATTAGAACAACTGTTCAATTAGAACCGTGGGGAGAAATTAGAGATCTCTGATATCTCGATATTGATATTTGTGTTACCTCAGATTCTTAAATTTGATTGGTGAAAATTTTGTTTATGCATAAAGCAAGATACAACTTACGGGAGGGTATATGAATCAGAGGGGTACCATGACTAATACCCGGGTATAAATCAAAATTTGGCATTCTAATTGCTACAGAGTATAATAAATGTCTGAAAACCAGAAATACAAAAATATTTTTTTAATTTAAAACAAAATTTTAATTTATTTTAATTTTAACTAATACTAAGCTTCAAGTCAGTAACTTATTAATATTATATAATAATTTCAAATTTTATGTTTATTATTAAAAAAAACTTATATTAAAAAATATAAATAAGTTATCTTAGAGGATAGTGATCCTAGTGTAATGGTTAAGTTGTTATTCTTTAAGTAACAGATCTAAGATTCAAATCTTATCTATAATGAAATTTAGAAATTATATTTGCATTATAGTAACTGTTTTCTGTCGATTGATTGGCCTTATGTAGTTATAACTCAGATATATCAAGTTGGGTCCTATCAACATTGAAAGCTCAGAACATCTATATGAATTGTAATATTATATATATATAGAGAAATGTATAACTAATATTGCATAAGACTTCAGTGCAAATCTACAATAAGATCACTAGGTATAGAAGTTTAAAAAATTGAAATAATAAAAACTCACTTGAAAATTTTCAAGTAAAGAGGTAATATAAACTTTTGACGATACCATCAGACCAGTTGAAACCTATGAAACATCTTTATAGAAACCAAAAGTTAAAACCAGATAACAAATATATATAAAAGAGCATATAACCAACCAGGTCATCAGACTCATTAAAGAAAAAGAATACAAAAGTATATTATACTAGGTTATCTAGATAGGTAGTCTAGAATAAGACTAACAGTTTCAAGTTGCAACTAGTAGAAGATAATAAAAAAGATGCTAAAAAGATAGGTACTGGAGTTCTAGTAAACTTTATAAAGGTAGAAATAGTATAATGTAGCAGTTAAACAGGTAATCTCTATGACTGCAAATATTAAGTAACTATAGCATATTGCATAAAACTAGATCAGTATATATAGAACATAAAGGCTCTAATAAGTTTTCTGTTAAGAATAAAGTATTTTTAAGGATACTAACTAGCATTAGAAACTTGGATGAATATAGTTTTAAAGATATTCTTATAATGCAAGAAGGATTGCATATGCAAAGAGTTTAAATAAACAAGACCCTAGTTGGCTTGCAGATATGACATCTAGTATTGAACTTATATAGTAATATATAAGTAAACTACTTAAATTACACAGGTTGAATGAATGAATAAAGGGTAAATAATAGGTAAATAACAGAAAAAAAAACTGCCATTATTCTACCCTATA